TAAAACAATCTACTACCACCACAGACGGGGCCCTATAGGGCTGATGTTCAGCCGGGGTGGAGGGGTAAGCGCAATGAGGCACCGCGGCCTCGGCCCAGAGCAGGAGAAGGAACGGGGGGTTTTAGTCACTAAGAGTCTGACACTCCCTCCCGCTCAACCATGGGCGGAAGAAGTCATTTCATGATTTTCCCATCACAAAAAAAGCCCATTACTACTACAAGCATTTTCACAGTTTTGCATTCTGTTTATAGCAAAAATTTCAACAGAAAAGCGAGAACTTACAAAGTATAAAATCTTAGATATAATAAGTTTAAATTTCCTTACATGCTTCTACTTTACCGTATGTCCAGTGGTATCTAATTAATCATAAAAAGTATGTAAAACTCGAAAACGTAATCTATCCCTAACTTGCCAGATTTCGAAACCCCGGATCCGCTCCTCATACGTGAGAGACGGGCGCCTTAATCTCTAAAGCACTTAGCTCTGAGGAATAAAATTGTTGCTGTCACTGTCTTATACAAACATTCTGATGCGACAGCATCATAGTTATCACGGGCCTGCGGTCGGCGAGTAAGGGCAGCTCCCCGCCCGACCAGAACCAGACCCGAGCGTACGGCGCGTAGCGTTCCGCGCGCGTCTCAAAGAGCCAATAGACCACCACAGACGGGGCCCTATAGAGGTCATGTTCAGCCGGGGTGGAGGGGTAAGCGCAATGAGGCACCGCGAACTCGGCCCAGAGCAGGAGAAGGAACAGGAGGATTTTTTTTTAGTAAGAGTCTGACACTCCCTCCCGCCCGGCCCTGGGCAGGAGAAGTCATTTGATGATTTTCCCCTCACAAAAAAAATGCATCATAGTTATTCCCCAGGTAACTTTTATCTAACCATTGAAAAATCAGCCCTAAATGTTATGTTTAACAGGCAACGTGGAAGTGGTCCGTCAGCTGTTGGATCGAGGATTGGATGAACATCATAGGGACAACTCGGGGTGGACTCCGCTACACTATGCCGCTTTTGAGGGTAAGATCTCCTTTTAGCAAAAAAAAAAAAAAAAATTAAAAAAAACAAATGTTGTTCTGTACAGTTATAGTTATGTAAGTAACTAGCTGCTCTCTCACGATTTCACTCGCTGCTCAGCTCCTTTTGATTATCGCGTGATGTTTTATAGCCTATAGCACTCAGGAACATTGTAGCTATCTATCAGTGCAAAAAATATATAATACTAGCTTCTCTTGCGCGGTTTCACCCGCTTCTCGGCTCCATTTAATCGTGGCGCGATGTTTTATAGCACCCAGGGACATTGTAGCTATGGATCTGACCAGCGGTTCCAAAGATTATCCCCTACATACAAACTTACAAAATTTACCTCTTTATAATATTAGTATAGATTAATGATAGCACAGACAAATTCGACTCTCACCGCCGGGATTTTTCACAAATAGCACCCAGTTTAATCAAATGCTTAACTAGCTTCCACCTGCGGCTTCGCCCGCGTGGTATGTTGATAAAAAGTAGCCGTATGTCATATTCCGGAGTACCTATGCCTGTGCCAAATTTCATCAAGATCCGCCCAACCGTTTTGGCGTGATTGAGTAACGAACATCCAAACATCGTAACTTTCGCATTTATAATATTATAGCTAAATATTATTTTTTATTCTGTTCAGTATTTCTTAAATTATACATTATAATCACCTATTTACCTTATTTAACTTAGTTATATAATAATTATCGTATTTGCATGCCAACTAGGCAGAATGTACACGGTTCTTTATTATGTTATTTTCGACCCATTTTTTTTTTGCTTTGCCCCACATTAGGATTTTCTCCTCTTTGTGAGTGCGTTTACAAACATACAATTTCACATACACAACATACCCAGACCCGAAACAATAATTTGTGGATCACACAAAGTGTGATCCAAATAAAGTCTTATTCTATTCTATTCATTCCCCCCACTCTCTCAGGTCACATAGAAGTATGTGAAGCTCTATTAGAAGCTGGTGCAAAGGTCGATGAAGCTGACAATGATGGCAAGGGTCCACTAATGCTGGCTGCGCAGGAAGGTCACACCAGGCTGGTCGAACTCCTCATTGACACGTGGGACGCCAGGGTCGAACAGAGGGCTCATGATGGGAAGACGGCTTTCAGGTTAGTGGAATGAGGAAGATCACCTTCCGTCTGAGGGTTTGACATATTTCCATATTATAATCTACTAGCTGCCGCCCGCGGCTTCGCCCGCGTAGTATGTTGATAAAAAGTAGCCTATGTCCTATTCCGGAGTGTATCCTATACCTGTGCCAAATATCTGTCAAATTCTGCTAAATTTTAGTCAGATCCGTTGAATAGATTTTATGTGAAAGTGTAATAAAGTTTCTAAAGTTTTTTGTGTTATCAATATAAGTAGGTAAAATAATTACGTTTTTAATAATTACGTAATTTGTAAAATTAAGCATGAAAGTCCAAATTATTTCGTTTCTTTTTTCTTCTCCTCAAATAATATTTTAGAGGTATGAGGAACAGGGTGGAAACTGGAAAGTTCCTCATCCTCCATTGAAAAGGGAGGATCCTCCGACCAGGCGAGGTGTTTGTGCCTGGTGGGCTACTGCCCGACGGTTGCTGTCGGGATTTATGTATAAGTGCTAATTGTGTTGTAACCTCTTAAAGCGCGATGTAGAAACTTGTACGTGATTGGTGCTTTTGTCAATGTTGTGCGATAGATGTCGCTACAATATCTTCTGATTTATGTCGTTGCGGGATCCAAGACAGTCATGTCATTGGGACGCGCTGGACTTCAGTGTTCCCATGGTTGTATCTACTGTAGATCCTGGTATATACAGGAGTTGCAACTGTATTAGAAAGTAGTTACCGGAGGTCCAATCCTTCCCCTCTCCAAATTCCTCCCCAATCCCTACATCTCCTTAATCCCTAATCCCTAAAAGATCAGGAACGCACACGTAACTTCTCTGTTGCTGCGGGTGTCCATGGGCGGTGCTGATTGCTTACCATCAGGTAATCCGTCTGCTCGTTTGCCGACCTATTACATAAGGAAACCTCTTTTTTCTTCATCATCTTATAGAATTAGATTAATTTATGTAACGTAATGGTGATGTAACGTCCCCTCCCCTTAGACTGGCGGCGCTGGAGGGCCACGTGGGGACGGTGGAGGCGCTGTACGCGCGCGGCGCGGACGCGGACGCGCTGGACGCGGACCGGCGCAGCACGCTGTACGTGCTGGCTCTCGACAACCGGCTCGCCATGGCCGCGCATCTACTCACGCACTGCAGGGCACACGTCGACACCACCGACAACGAGGTCTCTACATCAATATATTTTTTTACCTATATGATAGTTCGCCAAACGAGGAAGTATAAATGTGGATGGAGAGGGAGAGGGAGACCAAAGAAAATATGGATGGATTGTGTGAGAAGTGATATGGAAGACAGAGGAGTTAGCGATAGCGTGACGGGGACAGGACAGAATGGAAGAAAAAAAAACATATGTCACCGACCCCATATGAAACGGGACAAGGACAGGAAGATGATGATGAGTTCGGCAAACGAGCAGACGGATTACCTGATGGTAAGCAATCAGCGCCGCCCCTGGACACCTGCAACGGAGGAGTTACGAGTGAGTTGCCGATCTTTTAACAAAAGGGGGAGGATTGGGTTTCCGGTAATCACTCACACGGCGAAGCACAACGCTGTGGTTGTTTCACGCCGGTTTTCTGTAAGACCGTGGTATCACTCCGGTCGAAACAACCCATTCGTGCCATGGCTCTCCCACACTTGATTCATAGGTTTGCTTCATATAACATTTCTGTAAAATGATTGTTGTCAACAGGGTCGAACTCCACTTCACGTGTCTGCGTGGCAAGGTCATACGGATATGGTGAACCTCCTCATCAAAGTTGGTGAGTGGAATTTTAATGATTGGCGTCCTTTTGACGTGACAACGTCTTATAAATTGGTTTGCCGGGTGACACTTCAAGAAACTGCGTTACGCTCCGCTCATATTATGCGCTCACAATGAGAGCGAGTGAGAGGGACGCGTCCCTTCCATTCGGAGAGTGAGAGAGATAGGCATACACACCGGTTCATGTCGTTGTCACGTAAAACTTTCGCTCGCATACCGACTTTACAGGCAACCAATTTTTTTCTGGGGAATATCATCAAATGACTTCTCCCGCACAAAGTTTGGCGAGAGAGGGAGTGTCAGACTCTTACTGACTGAAACTCTTAACCTCGTTCTTTCGATTCGCAGGAGGATGGGTAGCTAGTTTTAGTTACACTTTTTTGGTTATTTGACAATGAAATAGGTTATAGAGCTTTGCGAAGGGATAGGCATTAGGCATGTATTCTAAGTCAGTGCAAGTGAAATAATTAATTTCAAATAGACCACTGTAGGCACTTTTGAAGGTCGAGAGATGATCTCCGGCCACCGTAAGTGCGTGTCTGTGGACGGCGAGTAAGGGTAGCTCGCCGCCCGACCAGAACCAGACCCGAGCGCACGGCGCGTAGCGTTCTGCGCGCGCCTCAAAGACCCAATAGACCACCACAGACGGGGCCTAAAGGGCTGATGTTCAGCCGGGGTGGAGGGGTAAGCGCAATGAGGCACCGCGACCTCGGCCCAGAGCAGGAGAAGGAACAGGGGTGTTTTTAGTCAGTAAGAGTCTGACACCGTCTCTCGCCTTACCCTGGGCGGGAGAAGTCATTGGATGATTTCCCCTGACAAAAAATGGCACTTACTTTTTAAGGTCATACAGAAAAAAAATAATATCAAACATTTCAACTTCGTATGTGAGTCTGTTGTCTAGTGAAGCTATTTGCTCGTTCCAAAGTGTAGATTCCTATGGAAAAGCTCGAGCGACAAACTCAATGGTTACTCTTTTCCAATTAATTTTACAAATTCATTTCAATGTTACATTATTTATACGGCTATGTTCGTGTTATCTGACATGTTGTATAGTGAGACATGTTTGTTTGCAGGCGGCGCTCGCGTGGACGGACGGGACCGATGCCTGCGGACGGCGCTTCACGCCGCGGCGTGGCGTGGCCGCACGGCCGTACTGCGCGCCCTGCTGCAGCACGGCGCCTCGCCCGCCGCCGTCTGCACGCAGGGCGCCACGCCGCTCGGTACGTACCATCTACCATCATATTGCCGTGGCGCTGCACGCCGCGGCGTGGCCGCACGGCCGTACTGCGCGCCCTGCTGCAGCACGGCGCCTCGCCCGCCGCCGTCTGCACGCAGGGCGCCACGCCGCTCGGTACGTACCATCTACCATCATATTGCCGTGGCGCTGCACGCCGCGGCGTGGCCGCACGGCCGTACTGCGCGCCCTGCTGCAGCACGGCGCCTCGCCCGCCGCCGTCTGCACGCAGGGCGCCACGCCGCTCGGTACGTACCATCTACCATCATATTGCCGTGGCGCTGCACGCCGCGGCGTGGCCGCACGGCCGTACTGCGCGCCCTGCTGCAGCACGGCGCCTCGCCCGCCGCCGTCTGCACGCAGGGTGCCACGCCGCTCGGTACGTACCATCTACCATCATATTGACGTGGCGCTGCACGCCGCGGCGTGGCCGCACGGCCGTACTGCGCGCCCTGCTGCAGCACGGCGCCTCGCCCGCCGCCGTCTGCACGCAGGGCGCCACGCCGCTCGGTACGTACCATCTACCATCATATTGCCGTGGCGCTGCACGCCGCGGCGTGGCCGCACGGCCGTACTGGCGTGACGTGGCATATCACATAAAAATACTAAAAAACCAATGTATACTATGTTAAAATGACTTTCTAATAACTATATCATTCCTTAATGCAGGTATCGCGGCCCAGGAAGGTCACGAAGAATGCGTACTCTGGTTGCTGCAGCATGGAGCTGATCCCATGCAGGCTGATCATTGTGGTAAGTTGTAGCCACTATTGATGATGATGATGACGATGACGATGATGATGATGACGATGACGACGACGATGATGATGATGATGATGATGACGATGACGATGACGATGACGATGACGATGACGATGGTGATGATGATGATGATGATGACGATGACGATGACGATGACGATGACGATGGTGATGATGATGACATTTATATATACACCTAGATTTATATATACCTCCCCCCTCCAGGGCGTACCCCCGCGAAGGTGGCATGGCGAGCGGGGCACGCGAACATCTGCCGTCTGCTGGAGCGCTGGCCGGGCGCCGCCCCCGCCGCCCCCGCCCCGCCCTCAGCAGCCCCATCTGCCCCTGCACATCATGATCTCCTGCCAGCGAGGCCGCCTAGTGCCGGTATGTATATCACTACATAGTATTAAAAGGCTTGGATCTTGGATACTTGACTTTAATATCACAGTACACAGTCGGGCAGCTCACTGCACCCAAGTTTGTATGTAGGGGGTAATCTTTGGAACCGCTAGTCGGATTGCCAAAATTCTTTCACTGATAGACAGGTATAATGTTCCTGAGTGCTATGTTGAAATGGAGCCGTGCAGCGGGTGAAACCGCGCGAGAGTAGCTAGGTTATATTATAGTAAAGAATGAACTGACATTGACAGTTGTAATGTTACAATGATTAGTATGACTAATTAGAAATCGCTTTGTCTGTCCATTTTTTTATGTGTTACGTCGGCAAACGAGCTGACGGATTACCTAATGGTAAGCAATCACCGCCGCACATGGACACCCGCAACAACAGAGAGTGCGGTCCCGACCTTTTGGGTATTAGGGATTTGGAGGAGGGAAAGGATTGGGCCTCCGATAACCCCATTCATACGGCGAAACACAACGCTGGAGTTGTTTCACGCCGGTTTTCTGTGAGGCCGTGGTATCACTACCACACTTAGATTCAATTAATCTATAATCATTGTTAGAATGTCTTTGTAAACGCAAACTAATTTTTTAATATATGTTTATAGGCTACGTAAATGCGACTTGTCCACCTAGAATTGTCTATTTAAATGTCACAGTTAACTTCACCCTCTTGCCAATAGGAATTCGCCGTGCATTTTTTTTATGTAATAAGTATTACCTGATGGTAAGCAATCAGCGCCGCCCCATGGGCGGCCCCCATGACTGCAACGGAGGAGTTATGAGTGCGTTACCGACCTTTTAGGGATTAGGAATTTGGAGATTTAGGGATTGGGGAAGGGTCGGGGGAGGGGGAGGATTTAGTCTCTAGTAACCTCACTCACACCGCGAAACACAACGCTGTGGTTGTATCACGCCGGCTTTCTGTGGGCTTCTAATAGCTTACTTTTTTTTAAAGATTAGCCAAAAATATCGAAAATTCAGTGTATCGATCGATCGATGAATAAAAGTATAGTTGTTTTTCAATATTTTATTGTATTGAAACGTCGGATTAATTTATTTTTGACTTAGGAAACTACCCAATTGTCTATTTAAATGTGTTTAAAAATTCGCCGTGTATTGTGTCTTTATACAAATGTTTTTTCATATCATAATTATCTTAAATAGTAATCGCTTTTTGCGCTTTATACAGGTTCGCCGGAGTACAAGCGTCGTAGCGTGCACAGTTCCAACTCGACCAAGTCATCTTCCAACATGACAGCTGGCTCGGCACGCTCCCATTCCCATCAGGACCAGGCGGAGATCGTCTCTACTGACAAGGTAAGTTCGTAACAATATTATTTATGGCTTCGTTATGGGATAGGTCGCGAAACTAGCGAAAGGATTACCTGATGGTAAGTAATTGCGCAAAGAATGTCGTGGTGGCCCGGAGGTTAAGGAGCCCGCTTCTCATGCATGAGGCTGTGGGTTCGAAACCTGGCAAGTACCAATGTGACTTTTTCCGAGTTATATGTACTTTCTATGATTATTTAGACACCACTGACACACGGTGAAGGTAAACATCGTGAGGAAATCTGGACTTGTAATTTCTAATTTGAAATCGCCAACACGCATTGAGCAAGCGTGGTGATTAATGCTCTAAGCTTCTCCGTGTGAGAAGCCTTTGCTCAGCAGTGGGCACTAATTTATTTATTTATTTATTTATTTAGGCTGATGATAAAGTAAATTGCGTCGCCCATGGACAACTGAGTTACATGTGTGTGGATTGATTATTTTAGAACGTCAGATATGTGTAAGATCGAAAGATTATCTCCGGCCACCGTAAGCGCTGGTCTGCGGACGGTGACCGACCGACCAGTACCGTACGGCGCGTAGCGTTCCGCGCGCGCCTCAAAGAGCCAATAGACCACCACAGACGGGGCCCTATAGGGCTGATGTTCAGCCGGGGTGGAGGGGTAAGTGCAATGAGGCACCGCGACCTCGGCCCAGAGCAGGAGAAGGAACGAAGGGGTTTTTAGTCAGTAAGAGTCTGACACTCCCTTCCGCCCGGCCCTGGGCGGGAGAAGTCATTTGATGATTTTCCGTCCACAAAAAAACCCCTCGAATTCTATTCACACTGTTTTACTGTTAACAAAATCTGTAACGCAATGTTTGTGTGTCTGTTTGTGCAGGGTAACCGCGCGAATCTGTCTCTGTCGTTCGCGCAGCAAGTGGCGCGGTGCGGTCGGGGCCGCCGGGATCACGTCCAGCATCACGATATACCTGAACATCATGTCGTCGAAAAGGATTCTAAACTCAGGTATGTAGTAAACGGAACTGCGAAGCCGTCTCCTCTTTCAGCGAAGCAGTGATGCTCGGAAAGGAGGAGGCGGAGTGTGTGAGGGAATTACCCTCCTCACGCCACAGCCGCCGCAGCAGCAGTCAGGGATCGAGAGATGATCTCCGGCCACCGTAAGCGCGGGTCTGCGGTCGGCGAGTAAGGGTAGCTCGCCGCCCGACCAGAACCAGACCCGAGCGTACGGCGCGTAGCGTTCCGCGCGCGCCTCAAAGACCCAATAGACCACCACAGACGGGGTGTTTTTAGTCAGTAAGAGTCTGACACTCTCTCTCGTCTTACCCTGGGCGGGATAAGTCATTTCAAGATTTTCCCCTGACAAAAAGAAAAAAAAAGTGATTGAGGAGGGGGAAAGGTTTGGCTCTCTAATATATAATAAAAAATATATAGTTTTCTATATTACAATTTGCACTGCACTTCAAACTGTTCCACCTTTAAGTATCAATATAACAATCTAACAACGGAGATGATGATGGTGCGTCATTCCCCAGGAGCTACCTGGCCAACGACCGTGACCTGGAGCTGGGCGCGTGGTCCGGCGCGGGCCGGTCGCGGGGCCACGCGTCCCCGCTGTACGCGTCGCCGCCCCGCACCCCCGTCAGCGACCTCTGCAGCCCCACGCAGCCCGCACTGCCTACCTTCGGTATACCATTATCTATACTTCTATACTAATATTATAAACAGGTAAAATTTGTAAGTTTGTATGTAGGGGGTAATCTTTGGAACCGCTGGTCGGGTTGCCAAAATTCTTTCACTGACAGATAGCTACAATGTTTCTGAGTGCTATAGGCTATAAATCATCACGCTACGATCAAATGGAGCTGAGCAGCGGGTGAAACCGCGCGAGAGCAGCTAGTTGTATATAAAGACTTAGTTGTGTGATTATAAGTTTTAACAATAGAGTTGTTTTCAGTAATTTCAAGTAAGTCGTTAAGTATTTTCAATTAACTTAGAATGTATCCCTATACAAAATTAGTTACTGTACAAAAAAGTTTATGTTAGTAAACGCACCCACAAAACTGGAGAAAATTCTAGCATGGAGCAACGTACAATTTGACTGCACGGTTGGCGCGGTGGCTGGGCGACGGGCTGCCGCGCAACGTGTCGCAGGTTCGATTTCCGCAGCCAGCAACCAGCGGTTCCAAAGATTACCCCCTACATACAAGCTTAGAAATTTTACCTCTTTATAATATTAGTATAGATAGCAAAATTTATCCATTTATTTTCTGATATGTTGAATTAAGCATATTCTTATTATTATTACTGCTTCCCTTCTTGTTATGTTCAAGCATATTCTCTATAGATATTTTCCCCCAACAGGCTCTCAACCTCCAAGCTTGACTTCAGTGCAACCAGTTTTAACGGACACACACTTCAACCGGGACACCCACATGCGAATCATATTGGGACGGGACAGCAAACCGCCGCAGGATAGAAGCGAAAGGTCAGTTTACAGACAGACAGACAGATATAATAACAATATTTATAGTAACAGGCTTAAATTATATGGGGCTCGTAACAGAAATTACGAGGGAGACGAAAGTCTATTGTTATTTACAATTAAGTATATTATACAATATTATTAAGTATATAATATGTAACATTCTATATACATATATAGTATGTATTATCTTATCATTTTTAGATTGTATATCTATTATCTATTTACTATATATCCCGATATATGTAGGTATGTATCTATATAGTATTGTCTTTTAATATTTTATTCTATTTAATTCGTATAAACATATTTCCCGTACCTATTTTTCGCAGATTTTCCACCTGACCCAAAGTTTGGCTGGTAGAGAATGCCATATGGCATTAAGTCCGCCTTTTGTACCAACTTCATTTCATTGTGTACAATAAAGCATAAATAAATAAATAAATATAATACTTAATTAAATGCTATGCCATTCGGCTAAATGTTATGACATTCGGCATAGTACCGATGCCCAGCGATCGTAGTATTCGGCTTTTGTGACACCATTTTGTCATATTTTTTGGGTTTGGACTGTCATTTGGGTATCCAATTTCTATTTTTATCGATGGATAAAGACAGTGAACTGTGTGTGTACTGTCAATTAAATATTTTTTAATGCCTAAGAGCATATTGGCCGCGATGATAATGCAATAGCTTTCTTATACATATATACTGTACCTACTGTCAGTTTTTTCTAGTTTTATTGTATTTGGTGGAAATATGTTAATCTTAGCTTTTGCCCGCGACTTTGTTCGCTTGGAATAGTGACTTTCTGCAGATTTTTGGTTAAAAAACTATCCTATGTCCTTTCTCGAGTTCCAAACTATGTCTGCACCAAATTTCACACAAATAGGTTCAGTGGTTTAGGCGTGAAGAAAATACCGACAGACAGACAGAGTTACTTTCGTATTTATAATATTAGTACTTGTGGATTATGATATTAGTTTGGATAAGTGGGGGATACAATTATAAGTTACGATATAAATATAATGCTTTTTTAATGTGTTTGTTGATAATTCTAACATGTAATCTGGAATTAGTTGGACGAATATTAGGCTTTCGGTTTTCGGCTTAAACTAAATAATATTGGAATACTATAGAAAGATCCATTGTAGATTATTATATTTGATGCCATTATAAACGTAATCTTATTCCTACTTAAAATTAAAAAGTTGTCCAAAAATATTTCAAGGTTGAAAGCCGAATATTCGTCGTTGACTTTTAATATAAAGCCGCAACACTACATAAATGTATGTGTAACGTAGCGAGGTGTGGAAAGCGATGGGTCTCGTTGCATACAACAAGCTAGTTGGAAGTATCGGCAGAGCCAGGGGCCGGATATTCAAAAAAAAGTGAGTCTTGCATATGCCGAGTTATTTTTCAGGTGTGACTATTCGGCTTAACGGGGGGATGGGACAATTTTGAGTTAAATTTTCAAATCTTACTTTTCCGTTACATAGAATAGATATTAATGTTACAAACACTGTTCTCACGTAAAAGAACCAATTTAATAATGTAACAAAGAATTTGTATTGGTTAGTGGCCATAGTATTTGCATATCTATCTTGTGTTCTTATCTTTAAGTGTGGGAGAGCCAGCACGAATGGGTCGGCTCGACCGGAGTGACACCACGGCCTCATAGAAAACCGGCGTGAAACAACCACAGCGTTGTGTTTCGCCGTGTGAGTGAGGTTACCGGAGGCCCAATCCTTCCCCTTCCCGGACCCTTCCCCAATCCCCAAATCTCCAAATCCCTAATCCCTAAAGGGTCGGCAACGCACTCGTAACTCCTCCGTTGCGGGTGTCCATGGGCGGCGTTGATTGCTTACCATCAGGTGATCCGTCTGCAGGTTTGCCGACTTATTACCTTAAAAAAAAAATGTCCTCTAGTCCCTTGGCCACCCATATCCATAATCTTGTTAATTTTTACCAGATTTTACAATAGTCCTGTATAAAACGGGGATTATCCTTGGACGCACTTCTATAGTGCATCTAAGGATAATTTTATTGCAGGCTAATACCCCATCTCATTTGGATTAAAATTGTTTCGAAAAAAACTCATTTGTTGTTATATTATAAAGGGTCATGAAATTCCTCTTTTTGTAGCCTTTTTGTAGTAATTTGAATTATCTGTTCAAAGATGCTTGACTTGGCTTTTTGGTTCTGATGATAGGTAGTTGAGGTTTTAAAGATATGGTAGGGTATGGGTCAAATGGTCACACCTCGAAGGCTGGGATTGGCTGATTGGCTGGTGATAGGCGTATGCTGTACCTACTGCTTTCATCATCATCATCATCATTAAGTGTGGGAGAGCTATGTTTCGCCACGAATGGATCGGCTCGACCGGAGTAATACCACAGCCTCACAGAATACCGGCGTTAAAAAACCACAGCGTTGTGTTTCACCGTGTGACTGAGGTTTCCGGAGGCCTAGTGTTTAAATCTCTGAAACCCTAATCCCCAAAAGGCCGGCAACGCACTTGTAACTGCTCTGGTGTTGTGAGTGTCCTCGGGCAAAGCCGATTGCCTACCATCAGGTAATCTGTCTGATCGTTTGAAGTCTTATCAAATAATAAAATATTAAAATATTGACATGATATCGTAATAGAAGTGAATGATCAAAAATAAATGACTGACATGTTGTGATGCGATTTTTGAGTAGGATAAATGAGTAAAAAGCGCTGACGGATCACCTGATGTTAAGCAATCAGCGCCGCCCAAGGGTACTAGCAATACTAGAGGAGCGTTGCTGGTTTTTGTTTGAGAATGCGATTGGCTCTATTTTTAATCTCATCATCATCAGCCTATAAGTGTCCACTGCTGATTCAAGTCCTCTTCTCACACGGAGAAAGATCAAGCTTTTATCACCACGCTTGCTCAAGGCAAGGCAAGCGGGGGAGAGTCATACTTCGGCAAGAATGGGTCGGCTCGACCGGAGTGATACCACGGGCTCACAGAATACCGGCGTGAAACAACCACAGCGTTGTGTTTCGCCGTGTGAGTGAGATTACCGGAGGCCCAATCGTTTCCCTCCCCCAATCCCTAAATCTCCAAATCCCTAATCCCTAAAAGGTCGGCAACGCACTCGTAACTCCTCCGATGCGGGTGTGCGGGTGTCCATGGGCGGCGCTGATTTCTTACTATCAGGTAATCAGTCAGCTCGTTTGCCGACCAATTACATAAAAAAAAGGCGGGTTGGTGATTTAAAAAAACTACTAATTCGCCAATCCCCATTGAGCAAGCGTGGTGGTTAATGCTCAAACTTTCTCCATCTGAGAAGAGGACTTGGACTTGACTAGGAGAAAGATGATCAGCAGTGGCCACTTATAGGCTGATGATGATGATTGATCTGGTGATACAAGCGCCTCTAATGGTGGGATCATCTTCATAATTATTTTTATCATTAACAATAATATTTTTTTCTAACCGAAGCTTTTGCAGCTATTTATTAATTGGTGATGGAAATAAAACTAATCTTGTCTAACTTGGAGAGAACTAAGCGATGAATTTTTTGCATATTTATCAACTAACAATTAAACTTATACCCCCTTATTACAAAACAAGGTTGATCTTTAGTCCAGGTTTAAACCATTGAGTCGTGTTTTGAATTTGGATCTAATTGTCATCCACCTTCAATTCGAAATACGAAAACTGGCTCTATGGTTTAGTCCTTGTAAAACCTTGTTATGTAATAAGGCCGTTAAGGTTAAAGATAATACCTACTTAAGGTTTAGTATAGATTCTTGAGTTAAACTAATATTGCTTTCGGATTAGGTCTGATTTTTCAATGGTTAGATTAAAGTTACCTGGAGAATAATCATGATGCTGTCGCGTCAGAATGTTTGTATAAGACAGTGACAGCAACAATTCTATTCCTCAGATAACATTTATCTGACTATTTAAAAATCAGTCCTTAGTCACGTAAATTTGACGAGATAACTCGACTAGTTTCATGATGCGTGCGGGGCCTATGTCATACAACGCGGTAAACATCGTAATGTATGAAGCTGAGTGTCACTTGCGTCGTCACTTTGACTGCACGGTTGGTGCGGTGGCTGGGCAACTGGCTGCTGCGCAACGTGTCGCGGGTTTGATTCCCGCACGGAACAACACTTTGTGTGATCCACAAATTGTTGTTCCGGATCTGGGTGTGTTGTGTATGTGAAATTGTATGTTTGTAAACGCACCCACTAGAAAATCCTAAAGTGGCGCAACTTTTTTTTTTATAAAAAGAAAGAAAGAACTTTGGAATAATATGAGCTCCTAGCGTAGCTTGAAACTAGTCGAGTTATCGAACGCCGATAACAAACGAATCACCTAGAACAGTTTTGTAAGTAAGTCGATAAAAAGAAATAATTGGTGTATTTGTGTTTAAACAAATAAATTTAGGTAATGTGTTTTTTTTTCGGTAAAAAATCGTTAACATTGTTACAAAATTTATTAAAATTAATTGAGAGAAACTCTACTAGTTTCGTTACGTTTAGTTAATTCACGTAAGACGTTAGTTTTAATAATATTAAATATTTTGACTGTATTCTTTCTTAATGTTTAATATTGGTATTTTGTCGATAAGTCTTCACACACTTAATTTTATCAATTTGTCAATTGTTTTCAATATATTTTCAAAAAGATACGGGAGTCTTATTTATACGCAGCGTGCGCGCCGTTATTAAATTGTCAATTGTTATCAATACCACAGATGGGGCCCTAAAGGGCTGATGTTCAGCCGGGGTTGCGGGGTAAGCACAATGAGGCACCGCGGCCTCGGCCAGAGCAGTAGAAGGAACAGGGGGGTTTTTAGTCAGTAAGAGTCTGACACTCCCTCCCGGCCGGCTCTGGGCGAGAGAAGTAATTTGATGATTTTCCCCTCAAAAAAAAAAAAAAATTGTTATCATTAGGTTTTCGGAAAAACAATTGACTATTTACAGTATATTTTTCAGAAGTTAGAGAATTGTTTTCGTTATATGAATATTATGTTTGTTATTGTTTTTTGTTTAATGCTGTAATTTGTTTGTTTGTTTGTAGTAAAAGCAAGAGGAATGGTATTGTAACGAATCCTGCCATGCGGTTGGTCGCCAACGTCAGAAATGGGCTCGGTGAGTGGATAATTACTTTATTACAATTTGTATTCATGCTGTGGCTTCTTATAAGTGGCGAAGCACAAGGTCATATATTATTATTTATGTTAATTTCACTTAACAAAAAAAAAATGTAATTGAAAGTACTTCATACTTTGAATCAACCATAGCGTTGTTTCGCCGAGTGGTTGGTTGGGCCTCCGGTAACCTCAATCACACGTCGAAACACAACGCTGTGGTTGTTTCACGCCGGTTTCTCTGAGGCCGTGGTATCACTCCGGTTGAGCCGACCCATTCGTACCGAAGCTTGGATCGCCCACACTTATATATGTTGTGTGTTCTTTCAGATAATGCAGCCGCGAATATACGTCGAACAGGCGTAGCCCTAGCGGCAAGCGCCAGTTCTGCCAACCCTGCCGTCAAAACCAACGCTTTCCAATGGAGGAAAGAGACGCCACTATAAGAAAGAAAAAGACAAATGAACGGTACAAGCTTTTTTCCATTCATACAGAAACTGAAACAAATTCAGTTCTGATATTGAAGATTTTTTTCTGTTTTCGAAAAAAGAGTAATCTCGTTTTTCTTTACCGCACCCGGTCGAACTCGAAATTAGTCGGACGAGCTCGAAAACGGTGTGGGTATACAAATGTGATTCGAATTAACGCGATCAAGATTTTACTGATTTGTAAAGTATTGCCAGGTGGCTTTTATTTTCGGAAAAGTATTTTTTTAGTCTGGCAGGTGAAATGCGTTGTGTACATTTTTAATTAATGTTAATTTTATGATGATTTCTTGTGTGTACAAATGGCCTATTTTTTATGTAAATAATTATATTTTATACTGACAAGTATAAAATCAAGAACTCAATCCGCTAGCCAAATAATATTTGTGATTAATCAATAAGCCTGATAGCCGAATATAAGGTCTGGAATTTGAATCCCGAATGTGCATTCATAATTTAAGTCCAGTTTTTTTTTGCTAATAAAAATAGGGTCTCATATATCTGTCGATGTAATCAACAAAGAAATATAAAAATTAATTAATATTATTACCTATATATGTATTGATAAATAGCTACAACCCAGGTTTTGTATAGTAATCAGGATGATGATATTCCATTATATAGCAATAGCGACTTAGCATCGATGCAATGCTGAAACTAAATTTCTCCACTATATAATGGATATTATTATACATATAAACCTTCCTCTTCAATCACTCTATCTATTAAAATACCGTATCACATTGCGTAGTTTTAAAGATTTAAGCGTACATAGGGATATTTTTTTTTCTTTTTTTTTTATAGCCTATCGTGTGTCCCACTGCTGGGCAAAGGCCTCCCCTTTTTCCTTCCAAATTTCTCTGTCTAGAGCGACCTTCGGCCAAGTTTGCCCCGCGTACATGATCAGATCGTCACACCACCTTCGCCGTGGTCGACCTCGACGGCGTCGACCTCCTTCTGGTGTCCAGTAAGTGACAATCTTCGCTAGGGGATATAGGGAATGAATAAGCGATTTGATCCCAGTTTATGTTTCAATATTCAATTTGATTCACATTGTCAGCCTATAAGTAGCCACTGCTGAGCAAAGGCCTCTTCTCACACGGAGAAGGGTTGAGCTAGGATTTTGATTTATAGGTTTTTTAGAGTGATTGAAGAGAAAGGTTTATGTATAACTAGCGGTCGCCCGCGGTTACACTCGCGTGGATGTCGATTTTACACTTATACAAGTTTATTTTTTAATTTTCTCTTATTACAAACCTTCTCTGAAAAATTTGCCAAATTGGTAAATGCATTGTTGATATAACATTACAACGAAAAGTGACATTGATTTTTATATATATACATATAAATATAATATAATAACATCCTTTAAATAGTTGAGAAAATTAGTATCAGCATCTGCACCCTTTCGAAGACGAAGAAAACAGGTTTTGTTTGCAACTTGGCCTAATTGTTATTATGAAATTTGTAATTGATAGAGAGGCAAGTTCGACTGTCGATTGTGGTCTTTCTGTGGACCTTCGTTGCTCGGGTCAGGCAATATTTTTTCTTTCTTTTTCTAATAAATAAAAGTTAACCCCTACCAGAATTATGACTGCACGGTTGGCGCGGCGGCTGGGCAACTGGCTGCCGCGCAACGTGTCGCGGGTTCGATTCCCGCACGGAACAACTCTTTGTGTGATCCACAGATTGTTGTTCCGGGTCTGGGTGTGATGTGCATGTGAAATTGTATGTTTGTAAACGCACCCACGACACAGGAGAAAATCCTAATGTGGGGCAACGTTTTTCAAAAAGAAAAAAAAAAGAAAAGAATTTAGAAATAGACATCATTACTAGACCCGTAACAATAATTTTATAGATCACACAAAGAGTGCGGGAATCGAACCCGCGTTACGTTATGCGGCAGTCGGTTTCCCAGTAACCACGTCAACCGTGCACAACCTACCTGGGCATCGAACTCGCGACTTCACTGTCGACATTCGCATTTGCCCCTGCTATCGCTTAAAAACAAAACGTTTACAAACATTCTTTTTTTTAATTAACATTTTACAAAAAATACAAAAAAAAAGAAATATATCAGTATTATTATAACATAACAAATGAATTGGGAACATAATTATTATTATTTTTCTTGCATTTTTTTTTGTATTTGAAACAGTACAATTTTTTTGAAGTGATTTTTTTGCATTTTGGTGTTATTTTTTGTACTCGAAGTATGAATTTGTATTTAATTGAGTGTATTTCTATTAATATACATTATTATCATAATAATATAAGTGTCCCCTTCTGATCAAAGGCCTCTCCTCACACGGAGAAGGTTTTAGCATTAATCACCACGCTTGGTCAAAACGAATTGATTTCAAACTTAGAAATGACAAGTCCAGGTTTCATCAAGATGTTTTCCTTCACCGAATGTCAGTGGTGTCTGAATAATCATAGAAAGTACATATTATAACTTGTAAAAAGTCACATTGGTGCTTGCCAGGTCTTATGCTCGAGTAGCGGGCGCCATAACGACTTTAAAATAATGTATATTAATTGAATTATACTCAAAATTAACGTGTGATCTCAAACGAACAATTTTATATAAAAAATTATTTATTAAATTCCTATAATGAAATGGCAGTTATTCATGTATCTATGTTATGTACACGTATATACCTACCATTTTTATATACTGCGTTTGTGTTGTCATAATGTAAATGTGGGAGAGCTATGCTTCGGCACGAATGGGTCGGCTCGACCGGAGTGATGCCATAGCCTCACTAAAAAAGCGACGTGAAACACCTTTGATCAGTCCCCAATCCCTGAATTCAACCCTAATCCCCAAAACTAAAAAGAAATACCTAAAGCGTGGTTTTTTGCCGTGTGAAGTACGGTAGGCCCAATCCTTGCTCTCCCCCAACCCCAAAATGTCCAAATCACTAATCGCCAAAAGGTCGGCAACGCACTCATAACGCCTCCGTTGCAGGTTTCCGTTACACAGACGCTTATTATGGCTTAGAATATGTTTTTAAAACCACGAGAGAATCCCTCTGTAAATGGTTTTAATTTTTACTTAACTTAGAATCATGCAAATCAATAATACAAAATAACTTCTCATACAGAGAAGGCATCAACATTAATCACCGAGCTTGCTCAAGGCGAATTGGAAATTTCAAACTTAGAAATTATAAGTCCAGGTTTTCGCACGATATTTTCCTTCACCGTATGTCAGTGGTGTCTAAATAATCATAGAAAGTATGTACATATAACTTGGAAAAAGTCACATTGGTACTTGCCAGGAGGCCTGGCTTTCTTCTCTATGCCACAGAAGTATTTTTTGTTTAGTTACTATATTGAGACGTACCGAACTAATTGAAAAAGTATATATACGCTCGAATTGAGAACCCTTCTTTTTTATGTACTTAATAGGTCGGCAAACGAGCAGACGGATTACCTGATGGTAAGCAATCAGCGCCGCCCATGGACACCCGCAACGTAGGAGTTACGAGTGCGTTGCCGACGTTTTAGGGATTAGGGATTTGGAGATTTAGGAACTGGGGAGGGATTAGGGAAGGGGAAGGATTGGGAAGGACTCCGGTAACCTCACTCACACGGCGAAACACAACACTGTGGTTGTTTCACGCCGGTTTTCTATGAGGCCGTGGTATCACTCCGGTCGTGCCGACCCATTCGTGCCGAAGCATGGCTCTCCCACACTTACTTCTCTCTTCTTTTTGGAAGTCGGTTAAAAATAACAACTTTGTTTTTAACTGAGAAAAGCTCTACTAGGTTCAAGTGCTCGGAAAATAGCCGTGGTGTTGCATATGTATGGTTCTAGTGGAATATTGATCTAGCTACGTACATCTCAAACACACAGACGAACGAACAAATATAAATATAAAATATTATTTTGCAATAATTTATAACGATACGAACTGTAGATATTATTATTATAATGTGTATAAATATTAGGAAGTGTAAGTAAAATGCCGATATTAATTGAATATATTTTAATTATGACACATTTTAGAAAGTTTTGATCTTGATGTTTGGCCTTAGCCAAAGTTAAAGTCATTTATTTCAACTAAACCATAAATAGGTGCTTTAGAAACGTCAGACAGATAGTCTAGTCTGTTAGTCTGTTCTAGTTGCTCGTTCCAAAATGTAGATTCGAATGGCGAAAGAGCGAGAAATAACATCGTAACTCTTCTTAAAAAATAATCCTGTAAGCCCGCTTGAGCTACCAAGTTGAGTGATCAGTGACTTGACCTTAGCATTCTACCGTTTTCATCATCATTATCGGGCGAAATAAATCTATTTATAAAAAGATTTTTCTCATAATCACCACACTTGGCGAAAAGTGATTTTAGCCGGAATAGACCTTAAAAAGCCAATTAGAAATCGCTACATCTCTAATCTACATTTATAAAGATTTTTCCTATAATCACCACATTTGGAGAAAGGTGATTTTAGTCCGAATAGACCTTAATAATTAATCTCTGTTGATTAAATAATCTCTACACTACAAAAGAGGATCACTAAAATGAAACCATCATTTTCCATTAGTGGTATAATTAAAATATATTCATGACTAAGGATAAACGTTGCTCCTATAAAAAAGGTATCTACTATTTTTTCCCCAACAAAAATGGTGTCTACTTTTGCATAGTTATCGCGTATTTTTTTTTTACATTCAGCATTTTAAGAATCTTGGCTATGACACGAAACATTATAGAGGACCGATATTGATGATTTAGTTGAGTCATTTTTTGTTTATAAAAAATATACTGTAACTAAATTACGATAATTGTTAGCCTCAATAGAATGGTTGCTTGTCAAGAATTAAAAAAATAATAAAAACTCCCCCCTACACTTAACTAGGGCGTTTCATGACACATAGCTTACTACGCGCAGTAGTTACAACTTTTTATTTCTTTATAAAATATTGTTCCACACTAGGATTTTCTCCTATATCGTGGGTATGTCACAAATACATGATTTGACACACACATCTCACTCACGGAAGCCAAATCCTTCTTACCCTCCCACATATTCTAAATCACCGAAATACTAATCCATTAAACAGCCGACAACGCACACGTTATTCCTCTGGCGTTTCGAGTTTTCATGGGCGATTGCTAACTATGATGTTATCTGAAGGCTCGTCTGACGTCCCATGACACAAAAAAAAGACATCTAGGAACAATTTGTGAATCACAAAAAGAGTTGTTTTGTGCGTTATTCGAAACTGCGACACGTAGTATGGCAGTCAGTGACCTAATCACCAGACAAAATCTACCTACAGATGTGTGTTGTCTGTGATACTTGTTTTTATTGATATT